CAGGGTTCTGCCCTAGGCCCTTTTCTCTTCTCTTCTTTCTTCCTCTACACTACTTTCTTTGGTGACCTCATCAACGCCCATGAATTTAGTTACTATCTTTATGCTGATGAGTCTTACATTTATGTTTTCTGCCCCAGTATCTCTGCTGACCTTCAATATCGCATCTCAAGCTGTCTTTTTGACACCTTAAGCTGGATATCCACTAGACATCTTAAACTCAATGTATCAAAACAGAACTCATTCCCTTTCTCCCTAAACTATCCCCTCTCTTACCTCCTCTATTATTATAGAGGACAACACCATCCTCCCAGTCCTACAGGCTGGCAACCTAGACATCTTCCTGAATTCCTCACTCTGTTTCACTCCCATATCCAAGCCATTACCAAGGCCTGCCATTTTTACCTTGCAACATCTCCTGAATGATACCCTTCCCCCTTTTCTCCTCTGACGCTGCTATCATGCTAATGCAGACCTGTATCACCCCCTGTCTCAATTACTGCAATAACCTGCTGTTGTTGGATCTGTCTACCTCAGATCTCTCCCCACTCTAATCCATTCTCCATTTGGCCACTAAAGTGATTTTCCTAAAACACAAGTCTGAGCATGTACCCCCCCCACCACCCCACATACACTCAATAAGCTCCAATGGTTTCCAATTGCCTCCAGGTGCAAATACAAAATGCTGTTTGGCATTCAAAGCCCTTCAAAGCTTGGCCCCCTTCTCCCTTTCCAGTCTTCTTACACCTTACTCCTTGAAATGTACTTGATCCAGGGACATTTGCCTTTTTGCTGTTCCACAAACAAAAAACTCCATCCCTCAGCTCTGAGCCTTTACTCAGGCTATCTCCCATGTCTAGAACACTCTCCCTCCTCCACTCTGACTACTGACCTTCCTGGCTCCCTTTAAGTCCTAACTAAAATCCCCACCTTCTACAAGAAGCCTTCCTGAACCCCTCTTAATTCTAGTGCCTTCCCTGTTACTTATTTCCTATTTATCCTATATTATAACTTGCTTGCATATATTTATTAGCCTATCATCTCCTCCATTAAATTGTGAGCTCCTTGAGGGCAGGAACTGTCTTTATATTTTTAGTATTTGTTTCCTCCCATACTTAGCACAGTGCTTACACATAGCAGGTACTCAATAAATGTTTACTGAATGAATGAATGTCATTTGGCAAAGTCTGATGCCTTTGTACATCTTAATCAAGAATTCCTTCAATATACATGTAGATAATTTTTCTTTTTTTTTCTCTCTCTCTCTCTCTTTTTTTTTTTTTGGCTAGGCAATGGGTTAAATGACTTGCCCAGGGTCACACAGCTAGTAAGTGTTATGTGTCTGAGGCTGGATTTGAACTTGGTTCCTCCTGAATCTAAGGCCAGTGCTCTATCCACTGTACCATCTAGCTGCCCCATATAGATAATTTTTCAAAGATTTTGTATAAATGGTAAGCTTAATGTGTAGTTATTAAAGTTTTCCCTATTATCTTTTTTTCAAACAGGATTTTTTTTTTTTAGTAGTAGAGCATTTGTGATTTTTCCTTGAGGACTTGGTAGCTTCCAGGTTTTTAGATAGCTTGAGAACTAGTCCCTTAATGTCCTAAAAATTGTGCTGCTCCCAGCCTACTATCTTTCTGTATCCAGTGACTCTTTCCCTCATTGTTTGCTTAGTGGAATTCTACATTCCCATACAGTATTTTGCAAACTGCAATGTTAGAGTCTAATTGCAATGGCTCTATTGTCGCTGATGAAGGGAGTCATCTATTACAGTTATCCTAACAGATATTTTCTGCTTTCATTTATTTGTTGTCTTCCTTCTAGTTTTATCCTTGCATGCTCTCAGTTATGACCAAGCTTAATTGAATTTTCCCCTAAGCTTACTTTAAATTTATTCTCACCCCACTCCTGCTACTATTTTTCAGTATTTTAGGACCAATATATCTGATAATCTTCTACTGTGTTCATACAAAAGATTTTAGAAATGAGTGTATATTTAGAAACTGGTATTACCCTTAGCTGGCACACCACTCTGACTTATAAGGATGTTAAGAATTTTCTAGCAAATGTTGTTTTAAAGGTCTTTCTTTTTTTTTTCTTTCTTTTTTTTTTTTTGCTCTTGTTTTGGCTACTGATTCACATCAATCTATTAAACTTTTTAAAGAATTAGTGAAAGTCTGTGCCCATATCTGTTCTTTTATCCATTTTCCATCTTTTTCTGTCAATGCTTGCTTAGATAAATCAGGCTGTTTGTTTAATTTTCATGCCACAGATTATTCACATTTATATTTATTCCAATTAGATATTGCTTTTTATCTTTGCTCTAACAAATTGGTGGTCTGACTATACTCATATAGTTGATTCATGAAACAATAACTTTGGTAAGCAGCTGTTTCCTGTCTGCCAAAATATAACCAAATATACTTTAGGGGATGTCATTTCAGTATTCTCCATGTCCACCACCTGATGACACTCTTCTTGGAGAAAATATTCATGACCTATAGGCAGGGGCTTATGTGCTAGAGTACTTTGCTTTCTTTCCTTTCTTAATCCTGAATCACATATTTCAATTTTTTTTCTCTCCTCCTTTACACCCACCTATGTGTGTTACAATATATGTTTATTTAATTTGGAGGGTCTTATTGAGTTCTTTGTAAAAATTTCTCTGCTTCTTTATCCTTTACAACAGATGTTGACTTGTAATATGTAATCATCTTCATAGTGGTCTTTTTATGAATTCTCACCATGAGTGCTACAGTATGAGATACACAAATATCCCATAGAATGTTATTTGAACATATGATAGAACCATTTCACCCAGCTCCTTTGTTTGTCTCTACAAGGAGATCCTCAGAGCTCTCCTTATTAGCTACAAAGTCCTTTTGTCTTTTGGTTTCATTTAGAGTGAGAATCTCCATGCCAATATTATTCATACTTAATGGTCTCTCCAGTGACTAAAGCTCTCCCATTTAGAACACCATCAGTTTAATTTAGATAGGTTAACAATTGTGTGCTTAGCATTCTCTGGTCCTTTTTCTCTGTCAGAATCACAGCAGAAGCTTAAGGAAGTCACACAAGATTGGGGAAAATTTTGGATCTTAATTTGTTTTCTTGGGTTGCTTTAATCCAAGAATGCAATCAGGTAACTGGGGCTGAATTGCTCCATCATTAGACAATTCCTTGGAGAGTAGATATCATCTGACCATACTTTTCAGCCAGGTAGAACCTATGCTTCTGTATATTCCACTTAGATAGCCTTTGTGAATTCAAGGATATTTCCATACCACAGTGAGGCATCTGAATAGACTTTAATACTGGCAAAAAAGGGGGGAGGAAGGAAAGAAAGAAGGAAGGAAGGAAGGAAGGAAAGGAAGGAAAGAAAGGAAGGAAAGAAAGGAAGGAAGGAGGGAAGAAAAAAGAAAGAAAGAAAAAAGAAGGAAAAGAAATTAGGTTAGTCTAGAATGACTTGACATCATGCTGGTCCTTTGTATTACCTCCTTTTCTAGAGGTTCAATAACATCCCCTTAATAATATGTTCTGAATTTTACCCAAGATCCCGTCAAGCTCATTGGCCTATAGTTTGTGATGCCTTTGCTCTTCCCTTTTTCTGAATGTTGGAATATTTGCCATGCTTAAGGCCTGGACCACCTTTTCTGTCCTTGATGATCTTTTGAAGGTCTTTGAGAGTGGTTCATCAGCTACACCTTCCAATTCTTTCAATACCTTTTAGGATGTCATTTGTTTAGGACGACTAACTTGAACTCATCAAAGAAAGCCAAATGGTTTCCTACTGTCACTCTTTGGTTTTCTAGTGTTTGAACTCCCTGTGGGCTATTTTTTGTTTTCATCTTTCTATTACAAATATCATTCTATTTGGCAGAGAAAGCCAATGCAAGTTAAGAATTAAGCAGCTCTATCATCCATCATCTATGTGCATATACCCAAGCAGTGATCCTAGCCCCTTCCCCTCCCTCCCAGGATGATTTCCTCTATACAATGTTTGTTGGTGGGATCTTGTTTATCCTTTCTCTTAGTCCTTAGAAATTTGAAATCTCTGGAACTAGGGCATGTGTCAAATCATTCCCAGCATTCCTCTACTTTTTTTTAAATTACAGATTCAAAGATAGAAGATTCCTTCCCTGACTCTTGCTAATTCTTACCATTTCCACCCTCTGCAATCAGCTACAGAATTGGACTCAGAACCAAGAAGACTTGGATTCATGTTCTAACTCTGACACATACTATCTGTGTGAATATGGACAAATCACTTAACCTATCAGCTCTAGGTATTTCTCTAAGAATCTAAATTGGAGAGAAGGTCCTTACTGCATTGGGAGAGGGAGTGTCATCATCTGGGAGTTCCCTATCATAGAGCCAGTCCTTTTCTCTTTTTTAAACTCCTAGTATGCCTGAGCCATGTCACATTGTAGTCTGTTTTAACTCTATTTGAGAGCTCACTGCCTTTTGTATTATTTGCCCAGGTGGGGTAGCTGGAGAGGAGTTCATTTTACCTACTGTATAGATGTCCACTGATGTTTTGAGGGTCTCACCTAGACTGAGAGATTGTTATCATATCCTAGGAAAAGAATGGGGCTATATTGTCACCAGCTGTGACTCCTTCTTCATGAGACCTCATCCTTTTCAGCATTTTCCTACATTGTTTCAGAAGGAGCTGCTCCCCAAAGTTCCCCCAGTGATTTGCCATCTGTCAAAAATGAGACACTCTGTCACCTTCAGAACGAGCATTAGCAGGTGCCTAACACCTAGTGGCTAACGCCTACCATCAAGTAAAAAAAGAGACTTTTCTAAAAAGAACTCTCATTCCCCAGGGGTAGGCACATTCTTCTGCTAAGGAGTGGCTATCATTTTGTTGTTAAGAAATAAGCTGAAATGCAAATGTTCATTCTGGCAAAAACAAAAAAATCCTAATGACATCTCAGGGGAACTAGCCGCTTCAACACATCTCACTGGCGCCTTTGTATTTCTTCTTCCCATTGCTGCAGATCCTTACAACAGTTTTCAGAGACTCCAGCATTATCCAGAGGGACCAGTTTCAGCTCCTGTCCTTCTGTGCCAAGTATACCCAAAAGGTCAGTAACTTCTCAGTCCCGGGTGACACCAAAAGCCATATTTCCACTAGAAATGCACCAATGCCTCTGAAATGTGGAGCTATGAGACTTCAGGTGAAATCCCAGATCTGCCACTTACTAGCTGCTCAGCTAATCAACTAGCATTTTTAAAGCAGTGACTTAGAAAACCAGTCACTGTGCCAAGCAGTGGTGATACAGAGAATGATAAGATCATGCTGCCCTCGAAGAGTGTACATTCTAGTGGGGAGAGATGTCAGTCAATAAACATTTTTCAAGTGCCTACTATGTGCCAGGCACTGTGCTAAGCTTAGGAAACACAGAAAGAGGCAAAAGACGGTCCCTGCCCTCAAGAAGCTTACATTCTAATGGGAGAGACAACATACAGGAAACTATATACGAAAAAGATACAGTAAATTGGATAGTAATCTCAGAGGGAAGACACTAGCAATGGTGGGTGGGAAGAATAGTAAGTGTTTCCTGAAGAAGATGGAATCTGTGCTAAAGGAAGCCAGAGAGGCTACGAGATAGAGGAGAGGAAGGAAAACATTTTAGCCATGGGAGACCTCAACAGCAACCTCAGACAAATGACTGAAGACTCCCTGTGCTTTGAACCTTCAAATTTTTCAATAAAGTCAATAGAAAAAAAATTAGAATCAAAAAGCGTCAAAATCAGAGCATAGAAATTTCCCACTTAAAGGACTTTGGGAATAAACAAAGTGAATTTTCCAAACATTGGAAGCTTATCATATTAAACACCAATTTAAAAACAAAATTAACCATTTTTCACAGAAACCTTTACTCTCCTGCATCTGAGAGAGAGATTTCCTTCAAGTCCCTCTAGATTAGTGCTTCTTAAACTGTAGGTCACAATCCCATACGGGGTCAAAACATTTGGCAACAGTGAAAGGCTTTTGAATGCACAACAACCAAAAACGAATTAAAAATCAGATGAATCTGAGGTGTTTCTGGCAGTGCTTGCCAGTGTCACGTCAAGCAACTTCACTGTAGCCTTGGTTCTGAACACAAAGCATGTGCACTTTGCACCACACATGCCCTCAGGCCATGCAATGCCAGTGAGAATGCTGCTGCTGCCAAAATGCAAAAAGGGGTCGCAGGTGGAAAAAGTTTAAGAAGCCCTGCTCTAGATGATGCATTGATGGTATGCGTAATCCTGCCAATGACTGGTCAGAGTGGAAAGAGTGATAGGTTAGAATCAGTTTCCAAGTTCACACTCTGGCTCTGCTATAGAATACCTGTGTGATCTTAGTCAAGTCATTAAATCTCTCTGGGACTCAGTTTCCCTATTTTGAAAAATGAGGGATTAGGAGTGAATGATCTCTGTAGTCCCTTCTAGTTCTTAAATCTATCTCTCTATGACTTAGAAGAGCAGCTGGGTCATGCAGTAGATAGAGTTCTGGGTCTGGAATCAGGAAGAGTTATCTTTCTGAGTTCGAATCTGATCGTAGACACTTAATAGTTGTGTGATCTTGAGTGAGTCCTTAATCCTATTTGCCTCAGTTTCCTCACCTATAAAACTGAGCTGGAGAAAGATGTGGCAAACCACTCCAGTATCTCTGCCAAGAAAACCCTAAGTGGGGTCATGAAGAGTCAGACACAAGTGAAAAATAACTGAGCAACAACGGTGACTCAGAAGATGATATTTAAAAGTTGTCTTGGTGACCACAAAATCACCTAATCATTCTGAAATCTACCTGTCATATTCCTTTCAAAATCAGCAAGGCTGACCTCCCCCCCTCCCCCTGCCCATGACAGACTGGTGGTCTCTCCTCAGGTCCATCACTGTCAGGGCTCAGACTCCAGACTTCAAGAACTTAGGGTGGTTTCCATGCCCTAGTGAGGCATCAGAGTAGACCTAGTAGAGATGGACATGAACATTCGAAGAACCTGTGATTTCATCAGTGTATGGAACTCCTGTAGTCAAAAGTCCATTTTCTGGTACAGATTTCAATCCCTCTATGACCTTGGAAATATCTCTTAGGGAGCTGCTTTAGGCACATAAAAATGGAGGGACTTGTCTAGGCTTGCATAGCTAGTAAGTGTCCAAGGCCGGATTTGAACCTAGGTGTTTCTGACTCCAAGGCCAACATTCTATTCCTGTAAGTTTAGAGGAAGTGTATTACACAGAGGAGGGCATAGTCATCCTAACCTAACCTATTCGGATGGCTCAGGGTCGTTTTCAATGAATGTTGCTTATTATATTGTTATTGATCAAAGGGTTTTTGGAGTGTGTGGGTGTTTTTGCCATTATGTGAATTAGCTCTGAACTACTGTGTGTTTTTTTGAGTTTAGGGTTTGTTAATGGCTTTTCTGCATTCTTTGTTTCTGTTAGCCATTATTTCTTTCTGCTTCTTACTTGTAGTACTTTCCCCATCTCCTCGCTCTGGTCTTTTAATCTGTTTAGAACTATTATGGCTGGAGACTCAGATAGCCAAGTTTGTCAGAAATGTACTTAAAACAAGAGTAAGGTTTGGTCAGGGGCTTTTTCAGAGGCTCCCTGGCCTCCCAGCCTAAGCTGAGCTCCCCCACTGAGCATCAGAGAACTAACACTTCTGGATGTCACCTCCACCCAAATGGGATGTGACCATTTAATGATGACCATGCTTCTACCTGCTGCAGCATTTCAGAATGGCTGGAATTCTGGCAAAAAGATCCGGTGGAAATTCTCCTGGAGCTGGGGTTCGGGGCCGAGGAGCCAGACATCTGCACTAAAATCCCAGCCCGCTTCCTCAGGGGCAACTCTGCAGCAAAAGGCATCGACATTCGGGTGTTCCTGGAAGCTCACAAACAGAGGATGGATCTTGAGACCCCCGACCTGTATGGTGAGTCAGATCCCGGGAGGCAGGAGGCTGGTGAGGGCAGCCCGCGCAGGCTCTGCTCGGAGCCCAGCGACGAGCCGCTCCTACTCCTCCCCCCTCCTACTTCTTCCCCCTCCTCCGTTTTATGAAACAGACCAAGGGATTATGCAGCCATCTCCCATCACCTCCAGTCATTATGACTCAGTACTCCAAGTCACTCAAGGTCTGGCATTCAAGTATTCCTAGAATATTGGTTAGGAGGCAGCTGGGAGGCTCAATGAATAGAACACTGTGCCTGGACTTAGGAAGACCTGAGTTCAAGTCCAGTCTCATTAGCTGTGTGACCTTGGACAAGTCATCCAACCCTGTCTGTCTCAGTTTCTTCATCTGTAAAAATGAGCTTGAGAAGGAAATGGCAAACCACTCCTGTATCTCTGCCAAGAAAACCCCAAATGGGGCCACAAAGAATCAGACATGACTGAACAACAGCAAAATAAATTGCCAGCTATTATTATAACATAGAAGTCCTTTGCCATTGCAAAGACACAGAATTGAGAGAGAGTTTCATGTGTAAGGTCAGCAAAGTTGAACTATGGAGTGCAGGGAGGGAAGTCAAGCACAAGAAAACTGGAAAGGTAGGAAGGACCCAGGTTGTGAAGGGCTTTCAAAACCAAACAGAAGGCTTCTAGTTGATCTGATGGTCATAGGCAGCCTCAGGAGCTTTTAGAAAAGGAGCTGATGTGGTCAGAGCTGGGCTTTAGGAAAATCCCTTTGGCAGCTGATGGAGGGTGGAAGGGAGTAGGAAGAAGCTTTAGGCAGGAAGACCGATTAGAAGGCTCTCACAATAATCCATTGAAGAGGTGATAAGGGGAGCTAGGTGGTGCAATAGAGAGAGCCCTTGGAGTAAGGAAGACCTGAGTTTGAATCCTGCCTTAGACACTTATTAGTGGTATGAGCCTGGTCAAGTAATTAAAAAAAACCAAAACACAAACCTCTATTTACCTCAGTTTCCTTATCTGTAAAATGGAGATAATAATAATAGTACTTACCTCCCAAGATTGTTATGAGATCAAACGAGATAGTATTTGTAAAGCACTTTGTAAAATGCTCTACCAATGCTAACTATTATTATAAATAAGTTAAAACTAGTAAGTATCTGAGGCTAGATTTGAACTCAGGTCTTCCTGACTCCAGGCCCAGTGCTTTATACACTGTACCACCTAGCTGCCCCACACCTATAGTGGAGGTTCATAAAATTTAGGGTCTTCTTGACATCTTACCCAATTAGTCAGTCAAGAAACATTTAGTAAATAGCTGAACGTGCCAGGCATTGTGCCAGGCTGTGGGCATATAAACGCAATGAATGGAATGAATGCTACTCTCAAAGACTTTACATTCTAATGGGGGAGGTAGCAAGGACAAAAATAAGCGTATAATTGTGTATGGAACAAATACTAAGAGAATAAATACAATGAAATACAAAGTAGCTTGGGAGGGAGGGAAGCTTCATGCTGAAAGTGGTGCCAGAGCTGAGTCTGAAAGGGAAAAGTCTGTGGAGTAGGGGGAAGGAAAGTCTACTTCAGGCATGAGGGATGGCCAGTGCAAAGGGACAGAGGTGAGAGATGGAGTCCTCTGTGAGAGAACAGAGAGAACGCCGATCTGGTTGGATGTCAAAGTGTGGAAGAGGAAGCTCTGTCCAATGAGGCCGGGAAGGCAGGCTGGGAGCAGGTGTGTAGGGCTCTAAAGGCTAGGCAAAGAGTTACTAGCTTATCATAGAGGCTGAATTTTCCCGAGTAGGGGAGTGACACAATCCCATCTGTGCTTAAGAAAATGTCTTTAGCTGCTGTGTGTGGGATGGACTGGAATGGGGAGAGACTGGAGGCAGGGAGACCCATGAGGAGGCCATTACAATAATCTAAGTGAGAGGTGATGAGGGCTTAACTAAGGGGGCAGCTGGGTGAGCGGAGAGACTGAGAGCTGTCCTTAGGTACAGGGTCTCGGCCCCCAGCCAGTTCCACTGACTAAAGCGAAGTCCTCAGGAATCTTGATAACACTCTGGTGGTGAATTGAAAGACTGTTTCATGGATCTCTGTTTCCTTGTCTCATTCAGGAAGATTCCGACAGTTGGAAGTGCTGGACCATGTGACTAATGCCTTCTCCTCTCTGCTGAATAATGTCCACAGCTTGCAGAGGGAAGGTCAGGAGAAGGTACAGGCAGAGAAGCCCAAGGTGGCCCAGGTGACCGTGATCCAAGACAGACAGAGAAGGATCGGCCAACTCTTAAGGAGAGCCTCAAAACAGACGTTCAGAAGGGACTGCATGCAGGGCCAAGCTAAGTCACTAGGGTGAAGGAAGACCTTCCTGCCACCCCTGTGGAGACAGACAAATGTCCCTCTCTCCAGTCCATCAGGACGAACTTTGCTGACCGAAGCCACCTACGTCCTTTGACAGAAGAGCAACCTCCCCTGGCCAGCAATAAGCCGGTGTCCCATGAAGCGTCACCAGCTGTTCCAGGCAAGCCGTGGCCTCCTCTCTTGTCCATGTCCCTAAAGCAGCCGCCCCTTCCTTGTACTCCAGAAGGGTCAATAAGAGAGAGAGGCTTCCAGGAGAAAGGTCTGCTTCTGTCCCACAGACTCAGGCAGGTGGTGCACATGGATGCAAAGCCACCCGACTCTTTCGAAATGGAAGAGGTCAGTATGGTTTGGCCCAGTTCCCTCTACCTGTTGGAAACCTAGCCATCCTCCAAGGTCCAGCTGGGCTCCTCCCCTGGGAAGGCTTTCCTGACTACCCCAGCCCACAGCGATCCCTCCCTCCTCTGGGCTCTCCTAGAAGCCAACGTCTGGACCACACACTGAGCAAGGTCCTCATAGACAAGTGCTGCCCTAGAGTCAGGATGGAGGAGCCTTGATTTAGACCTAGAATAGACCTGAGAGGCCAATTAGTCCAATCTCTTCACTTTACAGATAGGGAAACTGAGGCTCAGGGTGGTTAATTGACATCACAGGATGATAGGTGACCCTTGATCTGGCCCTGGAAGGGCCCTCCAAAGCCATTGAGTCCAACCAGCCCCATCATGTTAGAGTTGAGGGAACAGAGGTCCAGAATGTGAAATGACGGGCCCCCAGCTTTCTGGTGACCATGTTCAGCTAATTTGAATGCAGGAAAATTTAATTAAGTGGCCTCAGATGTGCAAGTCACTGTTCTGGACGCTGGGGTTAGAGACCAAACCTGAGCAATCTCTGCTTACAGGAAGCTTTATATCCTAAAATCAGGGCCTCACTTGAACTCCAGCCATTGGAAAGGTAAATGGTGTCCACAGTAAACATCTCTGTGTTTGCATGTCCTTCAGAGGCAGTGTGGTACAGAGGACAGAACTCTGCTTCAGGGTCAGGATAGACCTGAGTTCCACTCCCACTTCTCACATATACTGGGGGTCACTTAACTGCCTCAGTGTTCCAGGGATGCCAAGAAGCATGAGAAGCAGCCTTGGGTCACCAGAGCACTTATAACCTACTAGGGTAACAAGGAAGTCATAATCCCACAAGCTTTCCTGTCCAGCCAATTGCTCCAACAGAAAGTGAAATCTGGAGTCAGAGACAGGGGAGATCGAACCAGGGAGAGCCTCCCAGGTATTGGAGGATTTGATCGAGGCCCTGAACCATGGTAGGAGGAAGCTAAGGGAAGGCATTCCCCATGTGCAACAAAAGGAGAAGAGAGAAGTAGATTTTGGGCTGGAGACACAGAAAAACTTCTAACCAATGAGCCATGAGAACCCTCCCAAAGTGAGACTGGCTGTCTATGGAGGTAGTGAGCTCCCTGTCCCTGAAGATGTTTGAATGAAGGCTTGGTGGCCATGTGTCAGGAGTGTTATTGGGGGCATTTTGGTTCAGGTGTTTCAGGACCGGGCTTCTAGGGTCTCTTCCAGTCCAGGGGACTTTGAGATAAGTAAAATTTCAGATTACGTCATCCTTGCTACATTTTCCCTGATCATTACGCAGGCAACTTTTGTATTCTGGAAAGTGTTTCCAAGAAGGGCCCTACATTTATAATTTGTTAATCCTTAGGCAAAATATAAAGTGCATTCCTGACAACACAGCCTGAGAAAATCTGTTTGTTTTCCTATTGATAGAAGAGTAATGAGAGCCTTGGGAGTTGCATCTTAAATAGGGGCCCTTGCAAGGTTACATATTTGTTTTTGAAATACAAACCTTAAAATCCAATTACAAGAAATGGAAAATACGCACGAAACTGGCAGAAGTATGTGGCCCCTTCTCTTTCCACCTCTCTCACCTTGAAAAGTATATGTCTTTCATGTGACCGGCTGAGAAACTAGGGATATTTAGACTAGAGAAAAGAAGCCAAGGGGAATCATCTGATCACAGCTGGATCTTAGATGTCTTCTAGCCCACCCCCCTCATTTTACAGATATAGAAACTGAGGCCCAGAGGGATCAAGTTAACCCACTCACGAAAAAGCCAAGTCAACGTGTATTTATTAAAGTGCTTACAATGTGCTAAACTCTGGGTTTACAAATGAAGGTAAACACAATCCCTGCCCTTGGGGAGCTCACAATCTAATAGAGAAGACAAAAGGCAAACGACCATGTACAAACAAGATATAGATGGGAAAGCTTGGAGATTATGTCAGAGGTCACCCAAGTAAGTAGGTAGTAGAATGAAAATTTGAACCCTGGTCTGCTGATGTCAAACCCAGTAACCTTTCCACTATACCAGATGTGTTCATTATCTTCAAGTGCCTGAAGGATTGTCCAGTAGAAGGGATGGGAAGAGAAGAAGGATGTATTAAGCTCTTACTGTGTGCCAGGCACCATGCTAAGTGTTTTACAAAGATCTCATTCAATTTAGTGGAAGCAAGTTTGGAGTTGCTCTGCTTGGCCCAGAGACTAGAATTAGGAGCAATAGAGGGACGTATCAGAGATAGTCATCATAGTCGTCATCTTTAGAAAGGTGAGACTAAGTTGGTTTTTGTGCTATTGTTCCAGTGTTTCCTGGTACACTGATAATTTAATCCAATTAAACTAGGGGAGGCACCATGGAACAGTAGAAAGAATACTCCCTCTGGATTTGGAAAACCCAAGTTCAAATTCTACCTCTCACGTTTACTCCCTGCGTGTTCTTGACAAATCACTTAACCTGCATGAGCTTCGCTTTCTTCCACTCTATAATAAGAGTATTGGACGAGATGGCCTCTGAGGCCATTTCTACATTAGAATGCTATAATTTAATTATGACACAAGGCAGGGGAGGTACAGAAGTAGTCTTGGGCTCAGAGAGACCTGGGATCAAATCCTGTTTCTGTTTCTACACTGACTGTGTGATTCTGGGCAAGGCATCTCATTTCTCAATGCCCCAGGAAACTCTTCCAGAGCACAAGATGCACAATGATCTAGATTATGGAGGATCTAGATTGGTGAAGGGACTTTTATTAGCAGGAGTCCCCCATACCAATGACATCAGAGGTCTTGTGCAAAACCAAGAATGTGGAATGCTCTCTGCCTGGTGTTAAGAAAGATAAAAATATATGTAAGTCAGGGTTCTACCTCTCATGAAGTTTATAGTCAGGTAGGGTAGCTAAGGCATAGTTGTATATAAAAAACTCAAAAAAACAGAATGTCATATGTGTATCAGAGAAATGCCAAAAAAAAGAAAAAAACTAAGTTGTCAATCCATGTCCCAGGAGGAGACACTCTTTCCTGGAGCTCAAGTGGCCTTTGACCTTTCATAGTCTCAGGTACTGTTTAATGCCCTGAAATATGAACTTAGTGACTAATTGCTCTCCCCAGTTCCCCAAGAGGCCTACATTTCTAAGCAGGGAGTAGTAAATTGGCCTATATGATTATAGAAAGAATGTACAAGAGGAAACAATCTGGATGTTTCTATGGCTTTAAAGTTTGCCAGGCTGAATGCCAGCATAGGAAGGCAAAGACTATGGAGAAATGACTGAAGGACCTGTTGTTGTCTTTGGATGTCTCAGGTGCAGAGCTTTGAGGAGGAACCTGGAAATCCACTGGAGGTGACCTTGGGCACAGTCGGTAAGAATCAGTCCGTATGATCAATTTCTCTAGTGGTCATTATGCCTAAAGGAACATTGAAAACCCAACTTGATGGGCGGAATAGTTATGCATACTGGTGCATATGCGTCTATGTGCTTGTGAGTGTTGTATGTGTATACATGTCCAATATGACTGCAGAGTAAGTGTCAATGAAATTTGAAAGATCATGAAAGAAGGAGATGTGACCAAAAAAGTACAAAATCTTGATTTTTTTAAAAAGGAAAATAGCAAAATCTTCAAATTATTGGGAAGTAAGCTTGCCACCAATATCTGGGAACAGTCTAGAGCCAGTGGTTAAAGATGTGGTTAATGAACATCTAGAAAAGGATGAAACGATTACGTAGATGATGAAACATGGCTTCATCAACAGGCCATGAGACATTAAAAACATGTGCTTTTTGATAGGGTTCCTAAAGAATAGATATTGTTTGCCTAGACGTTGCATTTACTGAAGTATCTCATGAAATCTTATGAAGAAGATAGCAAAATTTGGAGTAGATTATGGTAAACTGAGGTGGATTCAGGAGTGATTGGACTCTTACTATTGATTTGGATAAAGGCCTAGATGGCATTTGCAATGAGCTAGGAGAAGTAGCTAATGTACTGGACAATAGAGTCAGGATCCAAAAATATCTTGACAGGCTTTTTTGTTGTTTAGTCATTTTCAGTCATGCCCAACTCTTAGTGACCCCTTTTGGGTGGCAATGGCTTCATTCTGCGTGATCTAGCATTTCTGGGTTTTTGTCCCCAGCCTACAAGCAGATTTCATCAGTGAACCCCTAGCACAGCCCTCAGTTCTGCAGGGGGTGAGTCACCCCGACCTCTTGCTTCAGTGTTCTGCGTGTTTGTGGTCTGCCATTGACCAGAAGTTTCTCTCCATAAAGGCAATAAGAGCAAAGGACAATTATTAAAAGGAAGTCTCCTGATAGGGAGCTGTAGAACGTTTGCCTGTACTCCTCTGTGCACAAAACCTGCTCTTATTGGTCAATGATTAGCACTGCCGGTCTAGACCAATGCATTATTTGTAGATGAGGACCAAGTTTTCTTTTCTGTTGTCCCAGAGGCTGCATTAATCGTGTGACATCTACACATTTACCAGCACCTCCAACCCAGCCAGGAGTGGCTTTGCTGGGTCATGGTCTTCTTTCTTTCTTTTTTCTAATAGAAAACTGACTTCAGAGTTTTATCCCTCCTCCTGGAAGGAATGAAGCTGTGTGATGCTAGATAAATCTCCTAACCTCTCAGTGACCCAGGCAACTCTCTAAGAGAGTCTACAAATAACAGAACAAGTAGAGATCTGCAAAAAGGGGGGAAGTGTCCTCGTTGGGAACTCCCTATGCAAATAAAATCACAAGTATGGATATGGACAGACAGACAGACAGAAGGAGGGAGGAAGGGAGAGAGACAGACAGACAGACAGACAGAGACTGAGAGAGAACCAGCTAGCAGTCTAGGCCACCCCAGTGTTCAGCTAGAGAAAGTATCTTAATGAGGTCAGTTTACCCGAGTACTCACTTGACAGAATTCTCTGATATCGCTGATTAAGACTTTTCCAACATTCTCTTTGGGGAGTTGCTCATCAATAAATTCTTCTCATGAGGATACAACCAAAAGGGTGTGTTTTGTCACAGACTAATTCACAATGTCAAAAGCATAGGTCATTAATGTTCCAGAGAATTCAGGAGACAGAGACACAGAGACACAGAGACAGAGACAGAGACAGAGACAGAGAGACACAGAGACAGAGAGAGACAGAGACAGAGAGAGAATGTTTGCCAGCCATATCCCTAAATACTCCTGCCAATACTGTGGGCTGGCTAATGAGCATTCAGAAAATTTGTCCTTGGTGCTCAGAACACCGCTTCCCATTCGCCTACACTACATTGGATGTCACGCCCTCACTGAAGCAGCTCCAGTGACTCCCCGTGGCTTCTAGGATAAAGTATAGGCTCTTCTGTTTGACCTTTTAGGCCTTTTTTGATCTGACTCCCATGTTTCTTTCCAGGCTTACTTCTCCTTCTTTCCCTTTGTCCCCTCTACCTTCTATCCGACCTGGCCAGCTTTCTTCTCCTTGTGTAAGACATTCCATCTCTTGCTATTTACCTTTGCACAGGCTGCCTTCATGCCTGGGTGTCCCCCTTCCTCACTTTCACCTTGAATGAGACAATATTTGTAAAGCACTTAGCTCATGGTAGGTACTTAATAAATACGTGCTCACTTCTACCTTCCTCTCCTTGATAATTACTGCCTCCTTCAAAGCAGAGTTCAAAGGCTCCTGCCCAAGGTGGTCTTCAGCTTCAATCTTTAAACTCTCCCTTCCAAATATTTTTTAAAGATTACTTGTTTTGCCGTGTGTTTTGTCTTAGTTTATCTGTATACATATTGTATGTACCCCAGTGAATATAGTAAGCTCCTTGAGGGCAGAGACCTCTTTTTCCCCTTGTGTTCCAGGCACCTTACAAGTGCCCAGCACATAGTAGGTGCTTGATTGCATGGAATGAGTCTAATTGATGACCTGGATTCAGCCAAGACTGGATTCCACAAGCCATCGCAGACAAAGGGAGCTCCAGTGTCTGACCTTTCTAACCTTGCCCTCTGTGATGGCCCTCAATGACCATCTTGGCCTGCCTTAGCCTAAGCTGTCCAGGGCAGAACATCTCTCTTTCTTCTGGGTGCTGCAAAGTCTTTCCCTCCAATCTGCTCTCTCCTCTGAATGGCTTTTCTTGGGAGCCAGCAAAAGGTGGTCAACGCCAAAAGATTTCCATCAGCAAGAGGAACGGAAAGCCCAGTGGTGCCTGAAGGGGCCTGACCCCTGCACACAGGGATGGCTCTCCTCCCGTAGGCCTTGTCCCTAATCTCTGTCGTCTGCCCTCAATTTGAGTCTGATTGCTTCATTTTCTCCACTCCCCATGAAAAGCAATTCCCAGGCTGCCGTGTATCTTCTTTATATTTCTCCATAATGTCGTCTCTGGCTGTTTAACTGCAGCAAGCTTTATGACAAGGGTAGGCTGTTTCGGGGCTTGGCGATTTTTTTTTCTTTCCTGGGAGGTAGGCAAAGACTTCATTTGCAGAGATGCCCTCCACCCCCAGATCGCCCTGAATGACTTACAAGGAAAACGGGGTGGGTTTTGTTCCCTAAGCTGTTTTACAAATACTACCCCCCTTTTAAAAAAATTAGGCAATTTTATCATTGTTATAAATAAGTAATTGTACTGGGGAGCAGGGATAATCCTTATTTAATTAAATTCATCTATACTCCCAGGTTGGCAGCAACAGGACATATGTGAGACTAATACCCACAGCCTGGCTTGCTGCGGTTGCAATTAAAAACCCGCTCTACAGTAGCAGACGCAGTTTAGTGTTGCTTTTGGCATTTACAAATTCTTTTATTTTGTGCCTTTTTTTCCGCCGTACACATATGCTGGAACAGCTGTTGCTTATTTGTTGTTTATTCAAATCCGTGGGCTCTGGCAGCAAACTCCATTGTTCGGTAATGAAGCCTTCGTCTCTGGCCTGTATTAGGACCCAGTGGCTGGATGACAGGCAGAGGGCTGCCTCCCCAGTAGGTTACCACTGCCGCTGCCACCGCAGTCACAGTCCGTGCAGTTGATTTGGAGTCAAGAGTTAGCCATCAGGAAAGAAAAACGCAAGGTGCCTGGGGGGTGGGGGAGGGGTGGAACGCGGTAAAAGGCAAAAGGGATAGGAAGGTCATTTGGTGCTTTCCGGCTCTGTTCCTGCCCTAGTGGAGTATTACTGGCGTACAGGTTTTTGCTGGGGTTTGGAATTTTGGAAGCAGAGCCTTGCCACTCCTACTCTTCCTTGCTACTTTTCCAGTTTCTCTTTGGTTCACAAGGAGAATGGCGGCCGGGTCTCCTCCCCTTCAGCTCTGCTCCTATGCAATGATTTGATCCCTAGCCCCTCCTGTTGGGCAATCCCAATCCTTCACCCTGGCATGGGCACACCAAGATCCACTTCTGTCCTCCTTCAAGCCCAGCTTCGAGTCCCTGGGCCCTCACACCCTACTCCACAAAGGCCAAGAGGGCCTGGGCTGACCAGAGGCAAGAACTGCTGGTCCCCAGAGCTTGCCTGCCAATTCAGAGACATTAGCCTTCTGGAAAACCCCTGTCTCGCCCAGGAGGCAATCAATCAGGGATGTAACCACCTCCATCTGGCACATGATGACATGGAAACTCACTATTAGCACATTTGTGCTTCCTCTTGTCCTCACTCATGGTGCCAGGGACCAAACGGCATCCTCCTCCCCCTTTCTCTGTAGCAGCTGGGAACACTCTAGCGTCCCAGCATGCCGAGTTAACACATTGGCTCCTGTGACTTATTAAGTAGCAATTCTTTTAATTATCACGCCTTCCTTCGGTCTCCCCACCTATTCCATAGACAGCTTGGCACTGGGGGGATATTCTGCAGCGGGCAATCAGGATTTTTTTAAATTGACTGAATAGTTCCATTAGTGGGATTCCTGTTATTAGCCATTATCAGATGATGGGAAGAGTCACTTCATGAGTTGACATAACCCAAAATATTTATTTGGATGATTTTAATTCCATGAGGGCATTACTATCCTCATTTATTGACTTAAAAATAGTAGACTGCCTCAAAACATGAATGTGGGTGAGACTCATGGCCCACCAGGAGAGGAAAAAATGAATCTTTAAAAAATTTAAAGTCTTCCTTGAATTCCCTTCCTCTGCCTAGAGTGGAGGAAAGCCTGCCTTCCCTCAACAAGGCCTTGTTCATTTGTTGTCCATCACATTATTTTGTGGCCAGGAAGCTTAGGAAGAAGGAAATCGTTGTTTCTAGGATGTCCAGCTGGTCTTTTCCAATCTAGAAGTCAAGGCCTTTTGATATTGGTAGGATCCATCAGAGTTTGCCCTCCGGGTGCAAAGCCTTCATAAAAACCATCTTTCACTCCACGTCACCAAGTCCTGAAGTCAACAAGGATTTATTAAGCTTTTACTATG